GATTTGCTGTCGTTTCAACAAATGTTACACATTTTGCCAATTCCACTTCACACGAAAACACAATAGGGCGAATGTTTTGTGTTTGCGTGCGTGTTCCTGTAAGTGGTAGAGGAGGATACTTAAAAATTACAACAACTAAATAAACATTTCAAAATTGCTTTCCTTTACGTTTTCATTCTTTCCCATAGCCAAGACAACATATGTCGCGCGCTGTCTGCTTAGTTTCTTTTTATGTGAACCAGCCTGGCTTTTATGATCCTTTATTGCCTTTATTGTTGCTTTCTCCCTTGTTGCTTCTTTTTTGCTTGCTACCTTGTTTTTAATTTCGCCTTTGAGAGTATTTTCGTTTTATGTCTTGTTCTTCTTCCTTTTTTCATCAGTTGTAGAGTTACGTGCAATTTCTTTCCTTATACACACATACAACACACATTTATCGCAGTTGGTTGAATAACTAGCCCTGGTTGGATGGCCATAGAACCCGGTAGATGAGCAGCGCAACAGCTTTTCTTCCTGTTACATTTATTTTGATTCCATTTTTCTTTAATATTTTCTTTTTCCGCATTTTAGGGATATAAAAATTACACAAAAAGAGCTAAAAACATATGTCCAACACGAAATGAGGGGGAGCAGCAACCCTATAAGGGAGAGAGAGAGAGAGTTGGAGAGAAAGTTTTTTTTTTTTTTAACTGACATTTATTACAACCTGTGGCATTGAGCTGTTGTTATCTTTGCCCAATTGAGAGTTGTCAACTTGTTGGCTATTTTGGGAGTTTGACATGCGCGCGCATTTTCTCTCTTCCGTACAAAGAGTACAATAAAAACTTGACTCTTTGCCCCATTCTCCATTTGATGAAGTCTCTCTGTGCTGTTGAACTCTTGGGCTTGTGTTCTTTTTTTGGGAAAATTCCGTACCAAGAGCCTTTTTATTCAAAGGAATATATATAACTGGAGTTTATTGCACCCACCAGCAACACCACCACCCACCACCTCTCCATTTTTCCAGGATTTATTCAAACATTCAACAGTTCGGCTGGTTCTTTCTTTTTGTTGTTGTTTTAATCTCTCTCTTGGGAGTGTTGATGGCAGAAGGATTTGCGTTTCTTGCGCCCCATTTAAAGATTCTTCCTGGTAAGAATAATACAAGCAAGAAGAGTGGGTGGGAGGAGGATAAGTTTGAAACGAAATAAGAGGGGGTGAGTTGTTATATCCCCCACATGTCTAGCTTTATAAAAATTTGAGTTTTATTAAGGGCGGATATTTTTGTTGTTGTTGTTCCACAACTGTTATCTACAAGTGGTGGTTGTTAGGCAGCAGCGGCAGCAACAGTCCGTGTTTCCTCCCTACCACCCACCACAACATGCCTGGGTTCTTGCAAAGGGGGATTTTCCTACCCCCCCCCCCCCCCCCCCCCCCCCAGTCAGCAACACAACCTCTTTTTTTGCCATTTTTACTTATTGCGTTCTAGTCTCTTTTTCCCGAGTTTGTTTTTGATTTTAATGTTAATGGTAAAAAGGCATCGAAGGGGGGCAACCACCATGATGGTGATGATAATATGGCGCGGTCTATGCACACATGCATACATTTACGTATATGTGTGAATAGGGGCGGGCTGACTGACTGACTAGCTATACATTTAGGTGGCGTACGTGATTGCTGGAAGTATTATTCAAACAGGAGCAGAGCATTACATCCTAGCCAGTGACGGGGGGTAGTTACCCAAAGTTTAATGGGTACAAAAAGCTTAACTGATTGTTTCTTGGATAATCCTCGGGGCAATTAAAACTTTTCCCACTGGAATATTGAATTTACAACAACAAACAATTTTATTAAAATTGTATTTTCCAATAATATTTTATTATTACAAATGTTTACTTACTTTTGGGAGTTTTTGCTTTGTTAATTAAAAAATGGCGGGAAAATGCAATTGAAGATGGTGGTCATCTTGACGTATGACATGTGAGTACTCTCAATTGTAAAGGGTCACAGCCACACATCAAACTCGTAAGTTAGCAACGATATTACAACCGTGAATGTACGAAATGTAAAATAAATTGAAAATTAGTCTTATTTCTTATAATTTATTATTTTGCCGCCTTCTCAATTTATTTTAATTACGAGAGAACTATAATAGACTGTTAGATATCAAAGAAACTCTGCTCTCTTGTAATTGAACGCTTTAATTATGTGGCAATAGGGCTATACATCGAATTATCTCGTTTAAAATATTGAGTATTGGAATTGAAGAAACTAAGGCAAAAATAACAACAACTCTTAAAAGGAATTTCTTGTCATTTAACACCAAATGAATTAGTTTCATCCTCTTTTACCATTTTGAATGATTTTTTAGACATAAAGCTGGTGGGTAACCGGACAAACTGCTCAATTCAAATTCTCTTTTTGTGGAAGGAGAAATAATATATAAATCTATATATAGGATCTCCAAAGAGCAAAAGGATTTCCCAACCAGGTTCTTCGTTTGCTCCTGCCATCTTTTAACCAATGTTAAATATATATTACCAAAATAAATAACAAACAGTGCCATGGTTTCTTGTGTGTGACTGTTGCTAGGCGCCTTTTTCGTCATGTTTTTCACCACTGCTTGCTTTCCCGCCCATGATCCCTAACAACTAACTATCCTACCAATTTTATGTGCTTGTGTGTGTGTGAAAAATTCAACATTTTATTATTATTGATTTCTTTACACAACAAATACGCTTTCTTCTCATTCAGCTGTCGTCTCGTCACAAATGCCATTGTGTGTCCCCCCAACCCATTAGTTGTTGTTATAATAGCACCTCTTCTAACTACTTCTCTTGATAACTGTGACACAACAGTGGCACTTTTTTCCTACTGTGGTATGTGTGTGGGATATTTTATCATGCGTATGTGTGTGTGTATGATTTCAACTTTTAGGATACCAGTCATTGGGGTTTTGTTTGCTATGTATTAGTCATCACCAGGCCACTTTATTGCTGTTGCACGTGCACGCTTCTTTTTTTTTGCTCATATTCAGTTAGTATTTGGATCTTAGCTATGTGAATAAGCAAACCAGAAGCGTAAGAGGCAGAACCAATATTAGATTATACCACCTGGCCCAAGGACCATTATTATCAGCTGATTAGCCAAATTAAATGTCCAAATGTAATGCTATTACTCAAACCCATGGTAGAAGAATACAGGTAGTCCCATCGACGTAGTTGCTGGGATAATGAAGTGTCAAAGCAATTTTCAAATTGAAATTTTTGAATGAAAAACTTCAAATTTGTAAAACTATATAAGGAATGCATTTCATAACAACTTTAAAACTAATAAAAATCTACTTATTAAAAAAAAACATTTTAAAATTTTTTGACATATCAATGTTCCCTGTATTATTCTACCATGCTCAAAATTCAGTAAAAAAAAGATAAACAAAAATAAATTATATTTAGTAGTTACTCAATTTCCTATTTTGGCCGAATAACAATTTTTTTATTAATTTATATTAACTTAACGTTACACTTACAATTGACAATCATTAACTACAACTCAGTTTTACATAGTTATAAAAACAAAACAAATATATATTTCAAATGTGATTTTACGAACTCTTCTAATAAATAATAATAATAATAAAACGTGTGTGTGCGAGCCAGCGAGTGAAGAAGAACCAGTTCTTGAATATACTTTGTCAATCATTTTTTTTTTTTTTGTACAAAAATTTGTCTAGTTTCTAATGATTTTTTGTTGTTGTTGCTAGCTAGAACCGGAATTTCTAAAATTTTTTTTTAATGATTACCCAAAGTTGTTTTGTGGATATTATATATTTTTTCTTTGTTTTTTTGCCAGAAGCAGCAGCCATCTAAGCTTTTGTAGGGTATAATTATGGCGAAGAAAAAAGGTATAAGAACTTGAAAAACGGAAGTATATTTTTAAGTACCTGTCATATTTGTTGTTGTCGTAGTTTTTGTTCATTAACATATTTTTGTAATACGAACAACAATTTGTTGCTTTGCTTAATTGTCATAATAAAACTCATCGTCGTCATGCTCCTGACTTTGTTTTTATGTTTACTACGAATATACTATGTTCTTGTTTAAAGCCTTTTAAGCATACCTCACTGTTATGTTAACTTACGTTGCGTTACGATTTAATAGTTAAACGTATACTGACTTTTATACAAAGTAAATGCTGTAATCATAACAAAAAAGTAAATGAATTGTATTTATTTATCTATTTGTTGTATAAGATTTTTAAATATATTTAATTTTCATGATAATATATTTAATTTTCATGATAATTTAGCTTTACGCAACGTTATGTTTCAGTAATTGCTACCATAGTCCTTCATCATCATACATATGGTAACTGACAGTTATAACAAAATAAATCAATATGGCATCACTGTTATAGGCTCAGACTTCTTCTTCTTCATCTTCCCTCATTCTCGTTCATACATATATTTCACTGGTTAAATTCTACTGTTGACTGTGCCATTTTTCCAGTTTTCCCACCCATTCCATTTCTTTGTGGTCTCTCTCTCTTTCTCTCTTTGATTTGGCGCCGCTGTTTGGTGAGTGAAAGAAGCAACGAATGAGTGAGTGTATTTTCGGCGGCATTCATTGTTATGTTCAGGCTAAATATTTGTTTGTTTTTCCATTCCTTTTTGTTGTGTATGGTGAGTTTATTTGTGATTAGTGGTGTTCTGGATGGATGGAAAACATTCTATAGACATTTCCCGGGTCGTTTACTGCTATGTGTTATGCTCAATGCTGCACAATTGATGCTCGCTCAATAGTTGGTTCGTTACAATTGTGGTGTAAAGAAGAGTTTAGTGTCCGTGTTTTTCTGCAACTAAGAAGAGTAAGGCAGAAAACAAGAAAAACAATTAAATAAATTAAAAGTAACAATATTTGCCATATTTCCCATGCATATGGTGTCCTTTTGCATGGAATTTTTATTCATTGTCTTTGCGTGTGAATCCTTAATAACATTTTTTTATTTTTGTTTTTTTTTTGCAGGAATCTTTTTTGTGTCCCCATTAACTTGAGTATTCTTTGAATATTCAGGAAAAATTGAAAACCAAATTCGAACACAAACAACAACAACAACAAAGTTACAAAAGGTAAAACTCACAAAACTTGCCAACAACAACAGCAACAATTAGCAGAGCGCAACAAAAATTGTTCTTTTTTTATGACAACTTCATCCATCAACAACAAAACGAATAAAAGCAACAATATTATTCATAAAACGCCGCATTATTTCGCAGCAGCAGCACAAAGAAAATAGAGAGCAAAAGAAAAGAGAGAGAGCGTGCAAGAGACAACTGTGTTGTAAGAGAGCGAGCGCGGAACCAAACAAACAACCAAACGAAAAAAGACAAGGAAATGTGTTCAAACGTTGGTGACCACCATTTGTGTAGTGTATTTTTGGTCACAGAGTTAATAAAACAGAGAAGCGCCTAAACGTATACTACACTTTTTTTGGTTCCACTGCATTTTTACAGCGCCATTAGGCAAATGGTTTGCTGAGTGTGAATTATCACAATCAAACAGAGAAGGAAAGAAAGAACTAGCGAAAATAGAAGTTTTTACAATTAAATCAAACAAATCACATTCAAGACACCTAGTAAAGGAACGGAACATAGTATTAAAACGAAGATCATTATCAAACACAAAATATAAAGGAAAACCAAAAACAAAACTAAACCCATAAAAATTGACCATAAGGGACAGACGTACCAACGTCAACTTAACTACAAAAGAAAAATCCAGCAGCAATAGGAAGAACCAATACAACAGGTAAGTTTTATTTAACATATTTTAAAGTTGTATATTGGATTTACAAACAAATGATATTAACACTTTAGCCTTCTTCAGATATTAGGTTAGTCTAGTTTGCAAACACATGGCAAATTGTTAGGTTACAAAGTGTAGTTGTTTTCATAGAATGTAGTTGTTATTAGCGAAATTTATGATAAGGACCCGGGGAGGAAGTAACTTAACAAAAACAAGAGTTAAATTGACTAAAGGAACAATAAAGGTAATGTAAATATTGCTATTATTGAGCCATAATAAACATTGACATTTTCATTATTGTATATAGATTGGGAACACGAGGACACTGTGGATTTCAACATTTTTCTGAGGGGAGCTAGGATAATTTATGTTGGGTGATAGAGGAATCCATTTTTTAATAAAGGATCGGACAAGATTTGTCAATGATAGGTGTACAATTTCACCATTTGGACTTGACTTAAACATTTTATATGGAACTCTCAGGAAATATTATGCCCTTTCTGTAGATACCCATTGTAAATCAAAGTATTATTCCCTTTTTAGTGGCGCACTAAAATCTCTCAATCTTTGTTAAGTAGTATTGGATCTAGTACCTAGTTAGTTAGACATATTGTTAGTCTCAAAGTAAACGCATGACAGCATAAGAAAACAGTATTATTATAGTGCCATTTAGCCCATCTACGTAACATACGAGGGTGGATTGAAGCAACAAACCAATATCGACAAGATTTTTTTTTTGTAATATTCTCTTTTATGATATATTTATAAGTATTTAACAATTCAAGATTTCCTGAAAAAAACTACAAAAACGAGAGAAGAAAAGAAAACAATTACTAACCCCCATCAAAACATAATAACAACAAAAAAAATCCAAACTGATAGGAGAGCTCTTCAGAAATGATAAATTATATATTGGTTGTAGTACAAGCCCCCATCCAAGTCGATAATATTGCATTGTACCAAATCATATAAAATACACATCAAATTTTAGTTTGTTGCGGAAGGTTTGTGTGGCGGTGGTCGTCGATGCATGGTCGGAAATATTTGTTGTTCGTTAAGATAAATACCTACCTACCTACATTTTGATCTATTCAAATTAGACTCGGTTTTTCATGTTTTTAGAAATCAGTTCTCAATCCACCCTTGTCTGCAAACGAAAGAGCCGGCTTTAATTTAATTATTAATCTTAACGTCAACAAAAAAAATCCTGACTGTGCTTCTTGTGATGATGATACCAAAACCAACCAATTTGTTATTACAGACACTCGCCTTTGCATTGTGTGTTTGAAAACACCCGAGGACGAGACGGAAATGAATCGGCAGTCTCATCAACAACAACCACCACCACCGCCCAATATGTCGGCTAGGCACATGCATGGACATCACAGTATGCGTGGCCAACAACCGCCACCACCACCACCTTCCCTACAACAAATAGGTCCTCCACCACCACCACATAGCTTAAATATGGGTTTTCCACCAGGACCAACAATTCCACCAAACATGCAACAGCGTTCAAATCGTTCTCAAAACTATCACAATTTTATGGATACAACAAATAATGGTGTTGGCAACGTGGCCGTAGGTGGAGCAGGAGGTGGCATGCCACCACCGCCCTATATGCATTACAATCGAATGTCTGGTGGTAATCCATCGGCTAATAAAAAATATCATAATCCCTTAAATAAGACGCGATCAACAAAATTTCCGCTTCCACCACAAGCCAATACTAATGAAAGTCATCATCAGCAGCAGCATACTACACCGCATCATCAGTTACATGGCCATCAGCAACACCATCAACTCACTAGTTATTCTAATACAGCAACAGTTCCTTCTTCCCTTGCTCCTCCAACAACAACAACAAATCCTCAAACTGCTGCCATGAATTCGTCCACAAATTTGAAAATTCTTGGCCATGAAAATCGCAAACAACCACCAGCATCTCAAGCTAAAAGTTCCGATGTTTATGGCCTAAAGAAAATCAATGAAAATCCCAGACAATTTGAGCTTAATTTTCAAACGGCAAACAATGAGAGGGTGGTAAATGAAACCATATCTTCTGTCGCGGCTACAGAAGAGATACCCATCAAGTCCATGAAGACACTATCTCTGACAGAGAAAAATACCACAACCTTGGATGAAAAAGAAGATGCTGCCAAAATAATACAAAGTTCCGGAGAAAAAGTCGAGAAAGCTGAAGAAACCAAACCCGAAAAGATATTGGAAGAATCATCTTCTACTGTTGTGGCCTCGGAATCCAACGATGAGACCAACAACAATGCAGCCGGTGGTAAGGAATCAAATGATTTCAAAAGTTCCCGGGAAAAAACGCCCATGTGTCTGGTCAATGATTTGGCACGTTTCAATAAGATATCCTTTCAATATAGGCTAACAGGTGAAAATGGACCAGCCCATTGTAAACGTTTTACGGTGACTCTCAAACTGGGAGATGAAGAGTACATGGCTGAGGGTTTTAAAATTAAGGAAGCCCAGCATATGGCCGCCAAAGAGGCCATATTAAAAACGAAATATAAACATCCCATACCAAAAGCCAATCGTCGTAACGATGAACAGGGTGCGTCCAAGGTTAATGTTACACCCACTGTTGAACTGAATGCATTGGCCATGAAATTGGGTTTACAAACGTATTATATATTCGATCCAAGGCAATCAGCCCAAGAGGGAAGTGGTGGTGGTGGTGTTGGAGATAAGGGTAAAGCTATGGGAGGACAACGTTTTAGAGGAGGGCCACCAACTGGTGGTGGTGGTCATCAGCCAGGCGGCATACCGCCAACTCAATTACACGGCATGGGACCAAACATGAAATATGGCGGAGGAGGTGCAGGAACATTTGTACCCAATTTGGCCCATCATAATCCGGCAGCGGCTCTAATGCATGTTCAACAAGCCGCCGCCGCAGGCCATCATCATCATCGTGGTGGCCACTATCCAGCTTGCTATCCAGTGCTTCCACCACATATGATGGCCGCAGCCGCCGCTGCCCAACATCATCACGCCAACATTTTCCCAACTCCCTGTAAAATTACTCTCATAGTGGGTACCCAAAAGTTCATCGGTACTGGCAGAACTATACAACAAGCTAAACATGATGCAGCCGCCCAGGCCATAGAGGCGTTGAAAGAGGAAATGAATAATCAACAAAAAGACAATGAAGAGGAGAAAAATGATGTGGAGGGTGACAATAAATCGCCCATATCGATGGTCTTTGAGATTGGCATAAAACGTAATCTACCCGTCGATTTTAAGATTTTGCGTGAAGATGGGCCGGCCCATATGCGTACATTTACCACAGCATGTATTGTGGGTCAGATTGTCACGGAAGCTGAGGGCACCGGAAAGAAGATATCCAAGAAAAAGGCTGCCCAAAAAATGTTGGAGGAACTCAAGAAATTACCACCCATCGAACCGACAACGGCCAACGCCAATTCTCCCAATAAACGAGCCAAAGGGGGTGGAGGTGGAAGTGGTGGTAAAGGTTTGCCTGGTGCAGCCCGCAAATCTGGTGGTCACTCCAAGCCGGGAGCTGATAAAAAGGAATCAGGCCATTCCCGAGGTGGCCAGGGTGATAAAATGAAAAAACGTGAACGACTTGATTCATCGGATGTGGCCGATGCCTCCAATCCCATTACAAAATTGGTCGAATGGTGCCAGCACAACAAGGAAAAGGAACCAATATTTAAAATAATCACAGAAGCTGGGGGAAAAGAGAGAGCTCGCCAGCGTCAATTTGTGGTGGAGGTGTGCACCAAAGATCTAACTGTACGCGGTGTTGGCAATAGCAAGAAATCCGCCAGACGCAATGCAGCTCAAAATATGTTGCTAGCCTTGGGAGTGGATACTACTACCAGCAACAGCAGTGAGAAGTCCCCACAAAAATCTGATGAGACCACCAACAACAATGAAAAATCCCTGAAAACAGCTAGTGCAGATTTCAAGAATAGAGATGAGGAAATGGAAAAAGTTAAGGATACCAAAGCCATTAACATAACAATGAAGACGGAAGAGGAAAAGAAGGAAGAGAAACCTGTAGTTTCTTCCAACCCCACCACCTCGGCTGCTGTGGGAAGCAGTGCTGACGCCAGCACAAGTGTTAATCCTACTGTAACATCTCCCAGCTCCGTAGCCACAACCACTACCACCACACCGAAATCATCATCCGGACTCTATATGAAAGATAAATTATTATATTTGGCCAAGCTCATGGGTTTCGAAGTTGATTTCTCCGACTATCCCAAAGGCAATCACAACGAATTTTTATCCATTGTTATGATTTCCACTAATCCTCCACAAATATGCCATGGCATTGGTGCCAATGCCCAGGAATCCCAAGAGGATGCAGCCAGAAATGCTCTCAAGATTTTGAGTGAAATGGGTCTTAACAAATAGACGAAGACGAAAAATCCAAAAAAAAAAAAAAAAAACGAAAGAAAACTAAAATATTGTTAATTATTGAATGCTGTTTTATTCTCCCAAACAACGTATTATGAACTCATTATTATAACTTTAAATGTTGTTATTATTGTTTAATAAAGAATTATACCGTCTATTTAAAAAAAGAAGAAAAAAAATACATTGAGATTTATTGTGGACCCCCAAAACGGTGGATGGGTAAGGACAGAGTAGAAGAAATATTTGATCAAGTAGAGTTGTAGGTTAGAATAAATTCAGCGATTTCCTCCAGATATACAAGAGAATCCTTTAGCATTCCATTCCAGTCAAAATTCCAATAGCTCAGGTTTAAGGAAAAAAAAAAATTACATTTTTTGTAGAAAACCAGCAACGTAACGACCGGCAAAACTGTCACACATTCTTTTGTAAATCCAATACCAACACACACACTTCAGATATATTTTTCCAATTTCCTTCCATTACTCATTTACATTTTCTTGTTTTCCAGGTTTTTTCCTCCCGAAATATTTTCTTAAGTAAAGCGCAACAGAAAACGGCTTCAAAATTGGCAAGCTAAAGGATAATCTCAACCCACACAATTACCCACAACAATTTCAAAACGTAGCCATCAAAATGGCCACATCTCCAACGCCATCGTTGGATTCCATACGAGGTGGTACAAATTCCATTGAGTCCTATATTGAACATAACGGTTATCTATCCGATTCACCACTCACATTAAGCGGTTCATCGCCACCAGTTTCTGATTCGGCAATTTGTGATGATTTTGCCAGTGTTGTGGGTCAAACAGTAGTTGTCGGAGGTCAACATACCATATCGGCATCGGTGTCTTCGTCGGCATCCAGCACATCATCCGCCTCGTCGTCGGCATCATCAGCATCGTCTACATCCTCATTGTCGAGCAGTGGCTTAAGTGGTTGTGGCAGCACCTCAAGTAGTGCTTCGAGTACTGGCTCAAATTCCGGAGGTGGAGGCGGCGGTGGTAATGGTCCCGGTGTTATCGGCAGTGGTAAGGGTAGTCCATGCCAAACACTTTTGGGTAACAACAATGTCATTAATGTCACCACCGCAAATGGCACAGGAGCTGCACCCCGTTGCACAGCCTGCAAAAGCAAACAGTCCGATGCTGTGGCCAAATGCTTTGATTGCATAAGTTTTTTGTGTGGCAACTGTTGCACAGCCCATGAATTTATGCATTGCTTCAATGGTCACAATGTGTGTTTAATTAAAGGATTTGAAAGTGGCACCACACCACCAACAACAACACAAACACCCACCAATAACAATAACAACCAACAGCAAATGAGTGGCAGCAGTAATCCCATGGATTTTAAATTTTCCAGTTCGCTTACCATGATGTTGCAGCAGCAGCAACAACAACAGCAGCAACTGCAAAAAGCAAATTCCCAACAACAACAACCATTGTCACAATTATCAAAAATTGTCTTAAGCTCAGCAGCAGCCGCAGCAGCTGCCGCCACCGCAGCCTCGTCGTTTAATAATCATGACATGAATTCCCCAGATGCTTCGATTATGGGCCAGGACGATATCTTTTCCAGTATGTTACCCTCGCTTAGGAGTCAACATCAACAGCAGCAGCAGCAGTTGTTACAACAAACCTTGCAAAGCCAGCAATCCCTGTTGTGTCCACGTCACAAAAACGAGGTGTTGAAATTTAGCTGCCGCACCTGTTGCACATTGGTGTGCAAGGAGTGTGTGGTGCTGGAACATTCATCGGGCATGCATGAAGTTGAACATGTCCAGGAAAATGGTCTGGGTTCCATGAGCAATTTGATGGGCGGCAATGGCGGCGGCCAGCAATCTACACCCGAAACAGTCTTGCAGACAGTGTTGGGCGATTTACGTGGCAAAGTGGGTGAAATTGTATCCCTAATTGGCAGCAACAACACTCCCGGTGACAATCAGATACTCAATGGCTCCAAAATCAAGTTACAATATCAAAAAGCCCACAATGAGGTGAATGAAACTTATCAGTTCTTCTGCTCCATGTTGGATGAACGTAAACAGGAACTGATGAAAGAGTTGGAGGGTTTGTACAATGCCAAAATGGCCACCCATTCAGCATGGATCCAGCGGTCCAAGGAATTGATTGAGAAGACCCTACAAACATGCGATGCCATCGAGAGATCGCCTAAAGCCCACACCATTACCGAGGTTTTGATGTTACGGAAAACTCTGGAGCTACAATTACAGGCAGCTATACAGGAACTGCAAATGCATTTCGAATTGGAATTTATGTCAAACTATCAGTCCATACAGGCTGGTGTTAGGAACACTTTTGGTTATATTCGGGCCTCTTCAGGGGATATTATGCAACAACAGACCAAGCAACCACCCATTGCCCGGCCATCGCAAAGCACTTCGTCTTCATCATCACATGGTGGTGGTTCATCGAATTCCAGTGTAACGGGAGGTTCACATTTACCCAGTGGTTTGGGTTTGTCGGCCCAACTGTTGGAGACATCATATTCCAGTGCCCTATTGGGCCGTAATCACTTGCAATCCAGCCATAGTTCAGCATTTGAAGATTTGATGGCAAAGCGATACAATTCCAATGCCTCCAGCAATGCAGTTTCAGCATTTGTTGGTGTGCCCGCCAGCAATCCCTATGAAAAATGGAGCAATGGTGGTTCCGACAATCTCTTCTCTTCAAATGGTGCCGATCCATTCTCTTCAACCACCCCCACCCAAATGTTGGGAGGTAATGCGCTGACAAATGGCTCCGCCTGCAACACCGTGGCCACCACAAATGGTTTACCAACCAGTGCTTTAACAGCATTAAACATGACAAATGGCAGCGGTTGCTCCAGTTCCGATTCGATCATGGACTTAACATCCAAGCTGCTATCAGCTTCAATATATCCACCCAAGTCACAAATTAAAAGACAAAAAATGATTTACCATTGCAAATTTGGAGAGTTTGGTGTTATGGAGGGCCAGTTTACCGAGCCCAGCGGAGTGGCGGTAAATGCTCAAAACGACATTATTGTGGCCGACACCAACAATCACCGCATACAGATTTTCGACAAGGAGGGTCGTTTCAAATTCCAATTTGGAGAGTGTGGCAAACGTGATTCCCAGCTGTTGTATCCCAACCGTGTGGCTGTGGTACGCAACTCCGGTGACATTATTGTCACTGAACGCTCGCCCACACACCAAATACAGATCTACAATCAATATGGACAATTTGTGCGTAAGTTTGGTGCAAATATTCTACAACATCCCCGGGGCGTTACAGTGGACAACAAAGGTCGAATTATTGTCGTGGAATGCAAAGTGATGCGCGTAATTATTTTCGATCAAAATGGCAATGTACTGCACAAGTTTGGTTGCAGTAAACATCTAGAATTCCCCAATGGCGTGGTGGTAAATGACAAACAGGAGATATTCATTAGTGACAATCGTGCCCACTGCGTTAAGGTATTCAACTATGAGGGCCAGTATTTGCGCCAGATTGGCGGTGAAGGTGTTACCAACTATCCCATTGGCGTGGGCATCAATACCAATGGTGAAATTTTAATTGCCGACAATCATAATAACTTCAATTTGACCATATTCACCCAGGATGGACAATTGGTTTCGGCATTGGAATCGAAGGTGAAACATGCCCAATGTTTTGATGTGGCATTAATGGACGATGGCAGTGTTGTGTTGGCCAGTAAAGATTATCGTCTCTACATATATCGTTATGTGCAAGTACCACCAGTTGGTTTGTAAACAAATCAAATAATAATATTAATTATTATTATTATTATTAATATTCTTGTTTTTATATATCATAATAATTATTAATTAGTTAGTTATGTGTATGTATTTTCTAGTTTCTCCTACTCCTCCCCCTTTCTCTACCTTGGCTATTTATTTCCATGCTTGTTTTTAGTCTTGTAACACTCCCCCTACCCCACACACCCACAAAAAGAGAAAATTCTTTCCAAAAAATGAATTTGTTTTTATTTTTATAAATGTATTTAATAAGTTATACACACACACAAGAATTAGTAGTAGTTTATTTTTTATGAATATTATTATTATTATTTGTTTTTATTATTATTATTATTTTTTACAAACGTTTTATATATAAACAATATATTTACATAAACAAAAAAAGAAAAATATTAAAGATATATGATGTTGATTAATATGTGTAATGCTTAAGACAAAAAAGTTGTAATTCCTTGAGATAATGTTTTGATGATGATGATGATGATAATTCAAAGGAGCGATAATGAAATGCTTAAATATCTATAATATTATTATACGTCTTTTAGATACTACTTAGGTCGTTAACGTAAAACAGTGTAAGAATCTATGAAGATTTATTACACAACACCACACATCTTAAGGTTTTTTATTTTATTTTGTAAACAAAACAGAAAAAAACAAAAAACCTTTTTGCAACAAAAATGGACTGAGCTTTGTTTTGATTATTTCTAACAAAAAAAAAGAAACAAAATAACTACAAAAAAAGAAAAAGAAAAGAAAACACACAAAACAAACAAAAAACCCAAACAAACACACACACAAAAGTTAATCATGATGCTTTTTTATAATTCTAAAAACTTAAATTAAGAAGAAGAAGAATAATTAATCTCCCTTATTTAATTAATTATATGTGTAGTAGTAAAACTCTCTTACAAATACAAAATATATATACATAGGAACATAAATAGGTTAGGATTTTACGGAGCGTATTTATTCAAGGCTCATTTTTTATACTCTCAGTCTCTCCTCTCTGGTTATTTTTTGTCTAATTTTGTTCTGTTTTTTTTTTTTTTTAGTTAATTTGTGTCACATGATGAAAAAACAAAAGCAAACATGACTGAGCTCTTTATAATGTAATGTTCTCTCTCTCTCTTAAAGTTGAGAGTATAAGGATTACAGATCCAAGATAGATAGGCACAATTTGGCTTGGTTTGGTCGCCAGGGAAACCTGACTGAACCAGGCCAGGCTATGTGAGCTATTTTGTTGGTGGCTTTTATCCTCAGGCTCTTTAGAATCGTAGTTTTTTGTTTAGTTTTTCTTTTTTTACAAACCAAAATGATTGCTCCCCACATAACTGAACTCACTCCATGATTTATTAGTTTTTTGTTTTTCATTTTGAAGAAGAAGAATGTGAACGAAATGATTTTTCTTTTAAACAGGACCATGAAATCTCTTTTTTTAGTTAGTTGTATTTCCAAAAACAAACAGAATTTATTGTTTTTTTTTATATTTTTGTGTGAAAAGAAGAAGCTCAGTTTTTTTGAAACACTATTTTTGTTTGACTCGCATTTCTCTATGAATTGTGTTGTTAAGAGTCTCTCTCTAGCTCTCTCTGCCTGAACGAATGTTTGTTTTATTTTTCACACATAATCAATCTCATGCTCTCTCGTCGTTGTCTCTACGCCGCCTGCCCATTTTTTTGTATTTTATGTTTTTAAATTATTTATTTAAAAAATATTATATATATGTATGTGTTTTTTCTGTTCTCTCTGTTTTTTTATTGTTGAGGTATATACATAATTTTAAGTATTTTTGTTTTTTATTTTTACTATTATTATTTTTTAAACTAAGTTAGCATTTCGTTTTTAAAGTAGTAAACAATGGCCCACATAAATTTGTATGTAAAACATTTGGTTCAAATTAATAGTTTTTTTATTATTATTAAAATCATTTTTTGCTTTACATTTTAGTTTTGAATTTATTGCATTTTGTTACATTTTTTTTTTATTTTGGTTGTTTTCATATATATTATTAATTTTTTTTAATCACACAAATTGTTTACATACAAAAAACGCAAAAAAATTAACGACCAAGAAATACGATTTTTTAAAATATTTTTTTTTAATTAACTATTTTATATATACTCGCATTGATTTTCTTTGTTAATTGTTTAAGTTAGTAGGTATGGCATTAATACAAGCGAAAAAATAATCTGAAACGAATCTTTTTTTGTTTTGATTTATTTTTAATTCATATTTTTTATATATGGAGTATTGTATTGAAAAAAAAAATATTTATTTTTTTTGTCCTCCTCCTTCTCCCCCTACCAATTTTTTTTTTGTTTTTCCTCGCCCTCCCTCCTTCCCGTTCCTCCTCCTCCCACCTAAAAATTTCAATGAATTTGTAAATTTTTTTCATAGTTTTAAATGTATGTTTTTTTGTGTTTTTTATTTGATTTGATTTTTTTATATAAGAACTGAACAATTTTTGTGCGAAGCGAAATAATATAATGATTTTGTTAACTTTTTTTTATTATTATTATTAACTATTATATAAAAATCGAAGAACCGAAAACGTAAAAACTGAATACAATTTTTTACTATTTAAATACACAACAAAAAAAAAAAATAAAAAAGCTGTTGATTTTTTCATATTTTTTAAATAATAAAACAAAAATTTATAAAAAAAAAAACAAACAAAAATTACATATTTTTTTTATTCCAAACATCTAAACAAACTCTTTTTCCCACAACTTTAAGAGAAGACCATAAGAAAAAAAGATATAAATATTAAACAACAAGACTCGATCAATTCCTGTTTGGCAATCAGATTTAAAAGACTTAATGTTAAATACAAAAAAAAAAAAAAACTAAAAAAGCGTTAAATAATTTTTAGGATAGGGGACACTAGAGTATTCTGTTTTTTTGTTTATGACGATTGGAAAGTAAACTCGAAAAACACAAGCTTTCACTTTAAAGTTAATTTTTCAATCCTCATACCGAAGTAGACTTAAGGTGGGAATGCATAGAAAGTTTTTCTTGACTGGCATAAAGGTGGGAATACATAAAGCGCTTATTTGGCTGGCTTCTTCGGAAATTAACACCTTCAGTCTGCTATGGGGACTATTATGGTGATGAAATTTAAACATACCCAGACTTAAAGTGTAGATGTTCTTTTCGAAATCGGTCTTTTGCCAAACCCAGAAGAAAATGGAAATGTTATTGTTTCATTATTGAAATAATAATGAGCCCCCATATAGGTAGATGGGTCCGGGCCTCTTAGAAAATGTGATGATTCCTGCGTCTATTGTAGATTTGACGGCTTTCTAAATTGTTTTTTATAAAATTTTGACAAAGGGGTCAAATACATTACCTAACAAAATATTCTACATTTATGTCCGAATTTCTACACCTTCAGTCTGCTATGGGGAGGGGACTATTATAGAGATGAAGTTCAAACATCCCGAGACTTGAAATCTAGGTGTTCTTTTCAAAATGGTGTTTTTGTATAGCTCTGAAGAAAATGGAAAACAATGAACACCGATCCAGCTAGATGGGCCTGGTCCTTCTATGAAAATGTAACGAGGCCTTCTCTAAAAAAACATTTATATTCACTGCTGGATCTTTTGCTTTCGGATTAAAGTATCCATTTTTATACCCTCCACCATTCTATGGAGGGTATATTAACTTTGTCTTTCCGTTTGTAACTTCTCGAAATATTCATAATAGACCCTACAATGTATATATATTCTTGATCAGCGGAAAATTCTAACCTATGACAAAAAATTTTATATGCAGGTCCAAGTCTTCGTATAGGCCCCATACTTCCGATATTCGGTATTTTCATGATTTTAGCGACATTATTTACCGGAATTATTTGGAATTTCGTATTTAAAATTCTAATGGGTACTACAGCCTTGACAAAATTTTGTGTATGCAGGCCCACGTCTTCGTACAACCTCCATATAACAGTTTTCATTTGAGTGGTAGTTTTCGGAATTTTTTGAAAATTTTCAAGTTTCTTCGAAATGGTGGAGGGCTTTTTTACTTGTTTCATAATATTTTCAGACAAGGGATATCTCATATTTCATATCGCAAACAAAATATCCCCTATTTGCGATATTCTGACTTGTACAACTTCAGAACTTAACACACTTTCAATCTGCACTTGGGACTATTATGGACAAGAAATTTTACATTCTGAGAGAGACTAAAAATTTAGAAGTTCTTGCCAAAATGAGTTTTTTGAATAACGATTAAGGAAATGTTATTGTTTCATTATTGAGTAAAATAAAGTGATTCCATTAATGTTTTTAAATTATTTAGAAATTTCAGAAATTACAATGGCTTTATTCCACTTAAGTCCACTTTTCCATTTTTATGAAGACTTTCCTTCTGACTTGGGATTTGAGACCTCTCCAATTTTACATAAATCCACTTTTCATTTTTGTGAATCCACCCCTTCCCCACCATTTGACTTTCCTGTTTTGGTTTCTTCAACATCTGTAAGGCAACTTAAGACTTGATAGTTATATATGTTATTATTTTAACTATTATAGATTATGTAGTAGTTTTTATATTTATATAAAAAAAAAAAATATTTACAATTAAAAAGTGTAAACACTAACAAAAGAGAGTAATTTTTGAAATTGGATTTAATTTTTATTTAAATACTTTGGAAATTCAAAAATTATTTTTTTTTTAATATTGGTTATATATTTTTTTTGTTTTTTCGTTTTGTAAAATTTATTTCGTTCTGTTGTTTTGTTTGCTTTTGTATTTTTTGTTTGTAATAAAAAATAATACCATTAGAACCATAAAATTTTTAAATAAATTGTCGCATTCATCAATAGTTTTTTTTTTTTTCCTTTAATAATAAACAGTAAAGTATTGTATCTTCATACCACCAATATTTGTTAAGTAAATAGAAAAATAAAAAAACCTTGTGCTCGCTAAGATTTAAATTCCAAAAAAAAAGTTTAAACTTCAAAAAATGTTTATTAAATTAATATCATCATGTTTTGTATTGCTTGTCTTCTTGTTTTACATTAAGTTTTTTTTTTTTATTTTTATTAAATGTTATAATAGTTTGTAATTTATGTTTGATTTGATGATTTTTCCCATAACACTTGCTTGAGAGAAAAATCATGGCTGATTCTCTTTTATTTTTTAATTTGTACTTGGTAAATATATATTTAGTTTTGTATGTGTTTTGTTAACTTGCCATTCATAAATAAACAACAAAAAAATTCTTTGAAAACGTAACATGTGCAGAATTTTTTATTTCAGATTTTTTTTTTGGTTAATTCCATAAATTATATACAGGTGAGATGAAAAAACTGCAACAAAGTCAAAGGCCATAATTTTTAAATTTCAAAAATGTCGGAAATTGCATCAAATTGTAGAATATGTTAAGATTTATTCGAATCGGTCACCTTTGGCACGAATTATGGCCTTCAAACCGCCGTCACACGCTGCCCACGAATGTTGCTCTGTCCTGTATTTTGGCCCATTCCCGGCGAAGCGCTTGCTTAAGGTGATCGATACTTTGGTATTTTTAGTGCCAACCTTGCTTTCCAAAATACTCCAGATACAATAGTTCAACGGATTGGTATCCGCGGGCCATTGTGCGCTGGAAATGTAGCGAGGAACCTTATTTTGTAACCATTCTTGGATGGCGCATGCTGAGTGTGATGGTGCTGATTCCTGTTAGCATGTCCAAAGTCTACGGCCATTTTTCGGCCACTGCGACGCGGGTACCGATTCGAAGTCGCTTCTTTAGCTTTAACAGTTATCGGGCAGGTGGCTTTGAAATAACAGCAGTCTGAGTTGGTTGCAGTTTTTTTTATCTCCTCACCCTGCATTGTCGGTATTATGTTTTTTTAAGTTTTTGTTCAGTTTTTTTTTGTATTTTTTAATTTTTGGCGAAATTAAGGCTTTGTCGAATTTGGAGTGATCTTCTATGGGAGGGGATATTTTTAAGAAAAAAATTTTTAAATGCAGAAGGCCAAGTCGAAGGAGGGACCAAAGACATTTAAAAAAAATCGAAGGGAATACAAATAGAATTCGGAAGGAACTCAAACTACATTTATCGATCTTTTAAATAAAAATTTGATATTGTTTCTTCATTTCGGCTTTTTTTAACATTCTAGTCTATTATTTTCAAGGGACAATCAATCATTTCTATTACAACAATATATTCCACTCGGTTAAGATACTTGTTAGTTATTGTTTATTAAGTTTTCTTTAGGAGTTAGTTTAAGTTAAAGTTACTCTTTTCACAATTGTTTATGTTGCTCATACACATGACTTGACTTTCAACACCAATATTATTAAATATATATAAACAGAAGAAGAAAAAACAATCTTTCTTGCACATATTAAAACTGTTAGGCACAATTCAGAATTACCTTTTTATTTGCGTATAATACACCAAAGTTAATCATAAAAAAATGAAAAAGAAAGGAACTGTATTTTATTTATCAAACAAAGCGTTAGATTCTAAGAAAAAGATAGTAGTGTATTTTTTTTTAGGTTATGTTTAAATATTTTTTTATACAAATTAAAATCTGAAGAAAATAAACATTACGTAATGTTTTCTTATTAGATATATATATGTACATCATATTTATTATTATTAATATACATATTATACTGAACAATTTGTTTATTATTATTAAACAATATAAATGCAAGAAATCTAAAAAATGTTAAATTTTTTTCAAAATTTATTTTTTTGGTAACTTTTTATATATTAAATTTTAAAATATATATTTTTTTTAGAAACAACAATAACTTAACAAAAAGCAGCAAAAACACAAAAAAACGATAAACTTTTTTTTACAATATTCTCATATTTATAATGACCATTAAAAATCCATCTTTACCACCACCCAAAACTGTCAAGTCCAGTTGGATTTTAAATGTTAGTTACAAGAAAGTAAAACAAAAAAAATATATATAAAGTAAAACATATTAGAGTTGCAATATTATATGTGTTTTTTTTTTCGACAAAACGGAACAATTCAAACATTTCATAATATGTAATTAAAAAAAACACATTTTATTTTGCTTAAGCTAATAACATACAAAATAACAGAATCATATAAAAAATATTAAAGTTCTTTTTTAATATTTAGAGGAATGAAATGAATGCAAAGTGTGTGACATAGAATTAGAAGTCATTTTCTTAAATGGACAAATTTTCCTTTGTAAATTCCAAAAAAACGTATCTCATATCAAGTTTACGTTAGACCTTTCTGCAGGTTTAACCTACTTCAGGAGGATTTATTTGAAGTATGCATAGTGGATAGACAATTTTTATCTTAATCCATTGGGATAACCCATTTATATGTAAAAGTACGAGCGGATTCAGGGAAGGACATAAATATCGCGTTTATAAGCTAGCTTAGGTTCGTAGTTTTTAAAGGAATAACCTACTGTTGTTGCGGAAGGTAGCTTACTTATATTAACTTTCAAGGGTTAATTGGCTCATACAGCTCCCATGTTTTTACTTTGATATATGTTTAAAGGCAATTATGCTGTAGTTTTTAAATTAACATCCTCGTAGTTGAATTAATACG